AACTATTTTTGACTTATTTGGTACAGGAATTGCTTTTTAGTTATGCTAATTACGTATTGTAATTATGCTTGTTCCGGGTCAGTGGACACGCCAATAAAATGACCTTGATATAATGCAGAAGCAAATTCACTTTTTTTTTAGGAAAATAAAAACAAAACACGTCATCGAATTCGGGAAGATTTATTCTTTCTACTGTTACTTTAAAACATGAATTTGCTCCACTAAACCGATGAGTAATCGCGGTTTGAAAATGGGGTACTTTTGCTATATTCTATCGCCGATGGCGCGAAGGAAATTATTGTACTATAAACACTATTTTCCATGATAATTTTGAAACATACGCATATATGTTCGTACATATTTCCCCCAGGGAAACCTAATAATAAAAGACACAGATTTTCTCGTTTGAAAAATTCAACATCAAGCCGAACTTTGTTTCAGAATCCAAAGCCAAGGTGTATTTAAAAGTACAAATGTTTTTACAAACATATTAAAAATACAGTATGATTACACAAAAACATTGTATATTTTTAATGAAACAATATGTTGATAATGGGGGCTTGAGTTATTATCATAGTGACAGTAACATTGTATTTTAATGCTTTTTTGCCTGGGAGAATTTCTGTTCATAGGCATATGAGGCTGGGGGAGGGGGGGGGGTTGCAAACCCTCCAGTCAGTGTTTAGTTGGGCAGAATTCTGCTTTAAAAATTGGGCAATTGTTTTAAGATTGACTTTAAACAGTATTTCTGCTAGTCTGTATAGGAGATGTATTCCTTCTATTTTATACCTCTTGTTCACAAACTCACGACAATGTTGGGCAATTTCTATCCACCCGTATGCCAACATTATTTTTCAATGCTGGGCATTCCAGAAAACCTATAGTACACAAATTTCCTGGAGAGGCATGCACACAATCCTGGTAAAAATCCATGAGTTTCTTTGTTGTTGTCTAATTGTGCTGGCACTAACATTGCCCCTCTCACTTTTGCTGCTTGTTTTGTAGTTTCTTATCAGAAAGATTAAACGACTCCTCCAAAGAAATTCCCAGTTAAACTTCATAAATGGACATTTGAGGAAGATAAAGCATTCATTGAATTCATATCTGTTGCAGAAAATCATGCAAAATCATTACGATTGAAGAGGTTTACCAATTATGTAATACCTCTAGATTGTTTTAATACAACATTAAGCTAGAGCAAAAGCATCACCTTTCATATACTTTATCATATAGCATCCATGTGTACTGGTGAAATGAATGTGTGCAATATTTTAAAATTGTGTGCATAAAATTTTATTTTTAAAAACATTTTAATTATCTTTAAGTACAGCAATATTATGTTAATATTTTTTCGATTTTAAAATAAATAAATTTTATCAACATCAATTATGTAGTGTGATCTTTTTATTAATTTGTGATGAGCAAGGGAAGACTATACACTGAAAATCATGAAAACCATACATACCATAAACCTCTGAATATAAGCCCCCCCCCCCGTGTATAAGCCCATCTTGTGCAAGCCCATCAAAAATCGCTTACGAAAGAATATAAGCCCAGTGCTTTTAGGTGGAGGTTTACGGTAGATTGTCAAAAAACTGCAGAACTGATAAGATGGTGTCCATGGGATACAATACTTATGGTATAATCAGGGAAGTGACAAAAACACATGCAGTACAGGAAAACTGGGGTAGGGCCAAGACTGTACCATTAGAAGCTCCCCAGCTCTATCCTTACAAATAAAAGAAATATCAGTATTACACCAGACACCAATAAACAATTTTTCAGCTTCTGCTAAACATTTTCTTTCAATGTTTTTTAACCCATTGAGTGTCAGCACTCTCCCCCTGATGAGTAAATAGTCTAGTGTTAGACAGTAAAATAATCTGGCGTTAGGCAGAGTAAAATAATAGACAACTGGTTGATCATTTGAGCATAGATAACTGGTTGATCAGTATAAATTCTTGCAATGCATCACACAGTAGTCAATACATTTATATATAGTGTTGCGATAGTGTTGAATTTCCTCCATTTCATTCTTTACAACAATGCTACCACTGGGCGCTTCTTCCATCATTCGGTGTGTATGAATGTCTGTCAGGGCAAACAGGGTTTATTGGTAAATTAAAACAGTTATACAATCAGTTGGCTGATGTAATTCTATTGGTGGAAGTACACTATCCAGCTCATCATCTTGACTATCTGGGTCACATGGTAGGATTGCTTGGGATGTTGGTGATGTTGAAATGTCAAACTCCCACAACATAACATTGCTATATTCTTTGTTTATACCTCCTTCCCGTAGATCATTAGGGTCGAAGAACTACATGATATGAAATAAAAATACGTTTAATACTGCTGTATTTATACAACATAGGAGCATTTTTATATTTCTATTTTTATATAAAAATCATCTCACCTTAAAAACACAACTAGAGTGAATTTGTACCAGTGGAGGACTACCGCAATCAGCGAACATTTCATCAATTTTTATCCCGTTAACCACAGCTGGACAAAGGACTATTCTTCGAACTATCTGTATTAAAAACTATAAACATGAACCTCACGTCCTCACGACATTCAAGTTCATCACACGGTAATTCTTCCGGAATCAAGATTAAAGGCTGTTTTGACGCACAGTGAACACACAGAAGCTCGTGTCCACCCAAAAACGAAGCTTTCTTTCCATGCATAGTGCAAAAATCCACCATTTTACAATTTTTTTTCGATAAATCTTTTCTGAATCTTTTGAAACCTCAAGGTGCAAACACAGCGAAAGCCGACCGAACAATGACGGCGCAGAGCGAGAAATCGATGATATGTAAAAAACCGCGCCTGACCGCGTTGCATGCCGGTATAGTCCTCACTCCTCCTCTGGATTGGTCACAAACCTCGCGGTGGCATTCTGCACACGGTGTTTTTTTCCCTTTGGTATGCATGAAGAAGATGATAAGATACATTAGTATAAATTTTGCATATCAAATGAGCTTTCGCGCGTTCTGATTGGCTAGTTGACTAGCAAATCTGAGGCTTTATTTACCACCTGGGGCCGGTTGTATAAAAAAGTGATTAAAGTTAACTATGATTAAGTGCAAACGTCATCCAATAAGAAGCGCCTATTTGAGAGTTAATCACTATTTAACTACAAAATAGTGATTAAAAAAGTGATTAAGAGTTTTATACAACCGGCCCCTGGGTAGTAAATAATGCTTTTCAAAAAGAGTGTTTCGGCAAATTTGGTTTCAAAATCGACAAAATATGGAAAAAAATCGTCCCCAGAAAACGAAAGAAGCCCAAAATGTTGTATTTAACTTGAAAGGTAGGATTCCTTTATTATTTTACTGCGTCACGTATTCATGGACAATTTAAAACTTATTTAAAACTCTGAACATTCACTTCAAACAAATAGCAAAAACTATCCCGACTATATAGCTGTGTTGGGAAAAACTTTGCCGTGATATTCTTTAAACTCCATTTTATTTTGTATCCTATAGATTTCCCAATTTCTACGATACTATTTCTACGATACTGTTTAATTATATATTCTAAGCAGAATTCGAGAAAAACAACTTTGTAATAACGCAATAAAGTCACACAAGGAGCCATGATTTTGAAAGCGTGTGCGTACAAGAAACACTGCAACACTATTAGTATTAGTGACAGTAACCGTGAACAGGCAGACGAAAATAGTATTCGGACATTTTGTTTTATTCATTAAAAATTTATACTAAAACAATTATTCGCCTGAGGCTCAGCGATTACGGTGAATATTCACCTCGACTTCGTCTCGGTGAATATTCACCGGTAATCACTTCGCCTTCGGCGAATAATTGTTAAATATTGTTGCAACCTAATCTAGAAATAATGAGACTTTCTGCTATGGTTGTTTCTTCAAATTATGCGGCGTCATATTCTGTACTTTATACGCAAGGTTGATAGAAGCCCATGGCTTCACGACACTGATTGTTTGATGTGGTCTGACCATTTAATGTTTCATCCAACGAAGTACCCAGGAGCTTGAACGCCTTGACTCGTTTCAAGATGAGTGTTATTGACTCGTTTCAACATGGTGTTATTTTTCTTATGCACACAAGTGCCCAAATCCTTAAGCGTGGTCACAGGGGACTCAACTACTGTCAGTAATAAGTGTAAAATAATTAAAATAATAAACTTACTTTGAAACATTTGCAGGAATTCTTCGCAAGAATATCGAAAAATATATCATGAATAGAGAAAAAAATTAAAAAATGATCTATATGATGTACTATAGAATCCTCAACAGGTAAGTAATGCGGGCGGGTATGAGGTATTAATATAATTAATAATAGATAAATTAATAGAAGGATTGAAACACCGGTCACGTGATCGTTCGATGTCTACCAGGAGCAGCCTATACACTCGGAGATTTCCGATCGCAGTTCGGAAATGCATCTCAAAGCTATTTTTATCCACTCTAACGGCAATTTAATTACAGAGAGCAATTTGTGATTATTTACATGTTTAAAAACTTAATAAATCATAGTCTATACCGGCGCCACAGTGACCGGGCAATATTATAAGCCGATAACAAATCACCGCTATTTTTAAATCTGGATAGAAATCCGAGCATCTCACGCAGTGGCGTAGCCAGGAGTATCGGAAGGGTGTATAGAGATCGTATATTAATTAAACAATCATAAGGTTCATATATGAGCTAATTATTGCGTAAACTAGTCCGAACCCGCAAAGACAGGGCCTTTTTAGCTATATTTGTATAACTGCAGGGGTCTAAACTCCACCCCATGGCGCCCTCCCTCCCACTCAATCATTTTACCCCCTCCCCCGACCACCACACCCTAGTCAGAGAAGGGGTGGACGTTGATTTATAATAACTGAATTTGGATTTTGAACCTTTTGTACATTTTGTCTTTTATTATGTTGAAATTTTATTTAGATCAATTTATTGGATCATGTCCAAGCGGTGGAGTGCGAACGGGACTCAAAGTCTCATGTGAGGCACGCCCCCGTTACAAACTGTAAAGATTTCTTAAATATTTACATTAATAATAGCTATGAAAAAACATATGCCAATTACTTGAGCACCAACTAATTCTTAAAACCGCACGCAACTTACAGTAATGGTGCTTGAAAAAGGGTACAGTACGTTTACACACAAACGATCAGTCGGCCGATTTCAGGTATTGCCGAATGTTAAAATGACAAACGTTATATCAGTTGACAACACAGAGTAGACAGATATACAAAACTACGACTAGAGCACCCATCTTTTTGTGCGCGTTCTCGGCAAGTTTCTAGATGCATGCATCCCATTGGATGGCGGTTCGCTTTAACTGCTCGCAGAACTTGCCGAGCACGCGCAGTTGATATTTTTTTTACCCGGTCGCCTAAAAAAAGTGGGTACATAAAAACGTAAGTTTCCGCAGCGTTTACGACGGCCAGTTGCAGCTCTGCATGTATCCACTCTGTGGTAGACAATGTCATTAGATGACATTGACAGCGTATTTTAGCATCATTTAAATAAATCTGAATCCAGCCTGAGCCAAATCGACTCGACCAATCGCTATGCGCAAACGCACCTTAAGAGTTTTTGGATTTAGTATTAAATGAGAATCCACTACTTTAAATTCTTTCACAATTAGGAATGTGAAAGAACATAGAAAGTGAAACACAAGCAATACGCTTATGTTTTGTTCGAACTAATTCCTATGACATGAACAAGCTCGATGTAATGACCAGGTACAAGTCATATCTGCAACAACAATAGTAGTAATTAAATGTAAGTACGTTCTTGACAAAAACGTTTTAAACATAATTAAACTACGAAGGTCTGCAGCGGAGGCTGCTCTACACACAGAGTTCCAAAGAGGGACGATACGATTAAAGAAGGACGACTGAAAAGTACTTGTTTTACACGACGGGACTTTAAGCATAAGAGAAGGATTTTGATTCACAATGACGAGCAGGTCAATGACTAACAAATGATACATAATCAGAAGCATTTAAGTCGTAATATCCATGCAATAACTTGAAGAAAAACGTTAAATCCTTTATCCCTCTATCGTATGTTAACGGTAGTGGGTTTAGGTCCAGCAATCGATCTTTGTATGTAATGTCGCGTTGCTATGCAGTTTGCTCCCGGAGTCAAATTGCCCGCGTATATTGGTTTCCGGTTTCCTAGCTGTAAATTATGGCGCGGTTCAAATACTGCGTCTTTGGCGCTTCTGTTTGCGTTTATTTTTCAACGTTTTAAAACGATACTTGCTCAATCTGTACTACATCGAACCGTCTATTAGCTCGTGTGCACAAATAACCTATACGGTCACCTGAAAACGGTAAAATGTTGGTTTTGTTGTGGCCATGTATTTTCGCCTTTTGAGCGATGAGATTCATGCCGAGAAGGACAAATTGTACTGTCTAGGGGTCTCACAGCATCGCACGTGCATGGCCTACAATCCCCCCTTGAAAACCCTCCTGAATTCGGAGCATTGCCGGAATTATTAGCAGAAATAGCTAAGAATTCGGCATTTTTCCTTGTTTTTTAAAAATATTTTTGTTGAAACTTGATTTCGGAGAAACTTTTCAAGGCAAAGTTGAAGAATAGCATTTATTTAACAAGTCTAAATTGATAGCAGTGCCGGAGAAAGGTGTGGGAAAAAATCTCTTTGACGAACGCATTTGCATTTTATACGCGTTCATGATGCGCCATGTTGTTGCTTCACTTCCCGCTGTGTTGCCTTTTTAGTTCGATAGATTATTGCCATAAAAGTCAAACATTTGATCGAAATAAAGGACATCCAGGAGTGTGCAACACACAGAGACCACTACCCGATAGTTTTGGGAGAAAAGTTATGTTCTTTAACTCATAGAAGCCAAGGAGATCTGTCATGCAAGTCACGCGAGGTTCATATTTGTTTACTTCACCTCATGCTGCGCGTCTTGAGTTAGCTGGTTTCTTGACTTCGATAAAAGCTTATTGTATGCCTTACGCAAGTTTTATTTACATTAACATAACTACAAAGGACTGAGTTATAGTTCACAAAAGAAATCAGTTGCAGATGCCTTTATTTAAGCGGAGATGAGGGAGCCGTTTTCTCGCTATTAAAGACAACATGCCTTGGTAATCTGATATATAGTGGTAGATGTACTATGATCTACGGAAAACCATCATGAGAAACGTTTGGAATTGTAACTAAATGATAAAATTAAGTGTGCGTAAAGACATGAAATCTGTTTCAGGGAAAGCTGCGTATCTTAAGGAATTTAAATCACTAGTATACTGTATGTTACTATTATTTTATGCGGTTACGGATCTTGCGCAGTATAAATAATAAACTGTAGTAGGCTGTAGTATACTTCGCAGGTATGATTGCACTGTAGCTAAATCTGCTATATATATTGTCAAATGGAACTATGTGTTTATATATGAATATCTCAAAAATACATCGTACACAAATATAATATGAAAGAATTTTATAATAGAACATATTCAACAAACAAATATTCTTGCGAGAACTATAGTATAGCTAGGTTTTTTGACGCGACTAACCAAAACAGTCAGTATGTTTCTCTGTCCGGCTGTCGATATATTACTTTAAATCGATATATGTTATGTATTAGCAGCATCAGATAATTTCCCCAAATTACTTGGATATACTGATGAAGAAACACGAGTCTAGGCGAAAAGAGGAACAGTTTGTACATTGGTTTGCGTTCCGTATTATGAAATATAAACTATACGGGAGCAAATATGATATATCGTCTGCGGCGCAGGCTAGAGGTATTCGACGGCAGTTAATAGTTCCGACTGGTTATTTGACAGCTAAATTAAATTATCACAATGGTTCCATTTAAATATGGAAGTTTATAAATCAGTTAAAATATACCAACAAATTTGTTTTAACTGCAAGAAATTTTAAGCCAAATACATGACCTTTCCGATTATAAGGTTAATAAACAACGCCATTTCGTATTCACACCAACACCGCTGGAAAAAACGAAGCCCGCGCTTCCGGGAGCAAAATGCATAGCAACCAACCACCGTGCGCGCGATCGCCTTTCTTCACTTGGAGGATCCATCTTGTGGCGCGTCTTTCTAGCTTCTCCACGCTAATTTTGTTAAGCGACTGATACGGAGATCAGACCTCTGTGGCATAAGATAGCTGTGATTTCACAAGTGACAGGTATAAAGTTGTTCGAGCATCGCAATTCGTTAACATGGGACAAGTAATAAACAGTAATAAACCAGTAATAAACCCAGCGTTGAATTCGCCTTCGTAACAAGTTTTGTAATGTGCCTATTCCAGGAGAGATTACTGGTAACAGTGATCCCTAGATCATGCAACTTCGCTATCTACGCGTATCAATTCTGCGGACCCAAGATGGTAATTTAACACAATCGGTTGTTTACGTCGGGATATTGTCAGTGCTTTGCATTTAGACGTGTTGAAATTAATGTTGGATTCCTTACTCCAATCGCCAACGTATGACAACGCTTCTTGTAGATTATCGCAATCCTGGCGAGATGTTATTGCCGTATACAGCTTTGTTTCGTTAGCATACAGCCCCGTTGAAGTTGTTGGAGGTATTACATCAGGTATTCAGGGAGATCATTGATAAATAGAAGGAAAAGCATGGGGCCTAAGATACTCCCCTGTGGGACACCTGAGGTGACTGGAGACCATTTTGAAGCAACACCCTCGACAACAACACGCTGAGTACGTCCACGTAAATAGTCAGTGAACCAATTGTAAAGGTTGCCTGATATACCATAAGTAAAGCATATATATACCATAAAACCTTCAGTATAAGTATATACCATAAAGCCTTCAGTTTCTTCAATAGGATACCATGATCAACGGTTTTTAAAAGTTATAACAGGATTTAGAGCGGAACGGAAATTAAGTATTGCTTTATGATATTTCCAGAATATTTTGGGTTTTTCTTTGAACGATGCTTCGATCTTCGCAAGATATATTTTATGTTGTGCAACTAATTATTGACGGCTTGTGCAATTTTGGCACATTTTTCAAATATCACTCGTAGTGTTAATTATTAATTGCACTCCTTTCCGTGTGATTACCTATACTTATGGCAGATTTCCAGTCCTCGCACGAAGCTCCTCGCAGCTCGCTGCGAGTGCATGCATGGGCACTTTCATCCAATTACAATGCTAAACAGTTAATTTTAATTAGATGCAGGCACTCGCAGCGAGCTGCGAGGAACTTCGTGCGAGGACTGGAAAACCGTCTTTATATAGCATTGACATTTATATTATAGTGTATTATAACTATAATTGCTGATGTTTTATGATTATTGTACATGTACATATTTTTGGTGCCCCCTACTTTTCTTTGATATTTTAGGTAGCACCGCCTAAGTGGTTAATAAATTTTTGGTGGCGCACCCCCCCCCCCCAGCATTAATAATGACTGCTCCCTAAAACAAAATTCTTGTTGGCTTTGCTGATGTGAGTTGAGTTAGAACCTGGAGAGACAAACAAATTTACTCTTCGATGTTGAAGCTTATAAATTGGTTATGTAATAACACTTGTTCCGAAGGTCCGAAGTGTATGCGAGATTACACCTCGAAGACTGCATGGAGTCACAATTCGTATCCATATACTGAAGCGCTGAGAAGTGAGTAGGATACGAATTCAAAATGCTTGCTTCAGGCTGAGAGGACGGCCTGAGAAGCCTCGCGGACAATTAATGATCGATATAATCCTCTTCTACAATGACTATTCGGGCGGATAATGCATGGTGCAATAACGCAATGATTAAAGACGAACTTCTTTAACTATAGTCTTGTTTCTATGGTTATAGAGGTGAATTAATTGGAATGAGGAGATACCTGAGAAGCAGGATTTCCACAAGTTTTTAAGGACCAGTTATGACACATCTTATAATATTAGCTTGTTGGAATGCCCTGATAGCAAGTTGTCTTAAAGTTAGCAACAAACAAGAATGCACTTGGCCCGTGCACGCAATTCGAGAACTAGCAAACATGTTCGCAGCACGTACGTGTTAGTTGTTTGAACTGGCTTGCAGAAAGTTTGCAGAACAAACAACTGTGCGGATTTTCCCTTGGTCGTTCATGTTTCCTGATCACCGGTTCTTCCACACGTACGTAATATTGTGTACTTGGAATAAAAGGCTGCCTTCATTTAGATATAATATTAACATCAATCAAGCATTTGATATTGATTTTGTATGGAAAGAGTCTTAGTCTCTTAAAGTA